CTAACGTCTCCGGAGTGATGCAGGTCTTTTACTAAGAGAGAAAATTTACAGGTGTTTACAAAACACTCACTACTCACAATAAACTCTCTTATTTTGGGAGAAAGTGATTATTTTGAAGCTAAATGAGCTAGGGTATTTATAGTTGAAGCTTAGGGATAATCTTTGAAAATACTCTAAAGTACAATGACTAAATGTGTGATTATCCCTTGCACATTTTCAACAAACGTTTGCTACAACCGCCCCATTTGCTTTTGAATTCACGATGGTTGTCAAATATTGTTGAAAACAATATTTGATTTTTCAACTCCAACACATCCAAGGACCATATGGTTCATCCGTCAGCTCTTAGAGGTTCAACATTAGATTTTCCAGCTGTACTAGAGCGGCCATACTAGGGGCTTGCTCCATCACCGGTTAGGGATTACTCGATTGACCATTACTATTGTTGTTGCATTATTCCTTGAGATGTCCAAATCAATCGCAAGTAAAATATATGGATGGTAAGTTTTCGTATTCAATGTTTTGGATTTTATTACCAATGATAACATGTGAAATGAGTGACACTTTGAGGTCGATGTACATAACCACGTGGGCATAACGTCTCCTATTGCTCGTGCCTTTGTGAAGTCAACCTTAGCAACCTTCCTAACAAGCTTGACGATATATAAAGAACCCTTTCCTAGTATATGTATTTCGGGAGTCCTAGAAAACGAATCCAGGCTGACTATCGTAGGGAATGGTTGGGATGTAATAAAATTCACGGATCATGGATGGAATTTAAGATATTGGCTGTAAATTATCCACGGTCCTTCCTCCAACACCTTGGTATAATCAGCTTTGTCCTGGAAACGAGCGAGAAAATACATGTTCTCTAAATCCATGGGAGTAAAAGGTTTGGATGGTTTCCAAAAGGCAAAAGTTCTATTGTTTAGAGCATTTAGGTCAATGTTTCGACCTAGTAGCTTGAGGACAACCGTCTTAGCCATACTCAATTCCATCTTCTGGTAGGCACGATCCGAGAATTGTATCAAAGGAAGACCAAACTTGGTTCTAGTAATGAAGTCGTCATCAGTGAGGATGAACTCCTCTTCAAGGTCTCCAGTGTCTCTGCTAGTGTTGGTTTCACCTCTTGGAAACCCTGACACAATATCAGCAAACGACGACTGGGAGTTTCCTAGGGTATCAATATTCATCAAAGTTGCAAGCGGTTGGGTTTCTTCCGCCTCCATGAGATTGGAGGTTGGAGGAGGCTCGTTTATATTAGGGTTGGGGAAGAGTGTGTCAATGTTACTTGTTATCTCATTAATCGTTTTCCTACTTCCATTCTTGTGTAGAAATTTTCATTTGAGGTTCTCTATCAAAAACAACCAAACTTGGGACATTTTAGGGTTTTTGGGTGTTTGTGCTATGCCAATACACCAAATTATAAAGACAAGTTTTCACTAAAGGTTATACCTTCTGTGTTTCTTTTGGTTACTATAACACTCAAAAAGGCTACCTCTTGTTTAACCTTGACACCAAAACCTTCTTTCTCAACCAAAACGTTTCTTTTCATGAGAGTATATTTCCTTTTCATTTTCCTGTCACTAAATCCTCTTGCTTTTTTCCTTTACAAAACTTTCCTCCTGATTATGAGTTTTCTCCTAGTTTATTCTCATCAAATATGCCCACAGATACATCCCATACTATTCGTGAATCTAATTCCCCAGTTTTGTCCACTGAGTTACCTATTCCATTTGTTGATCCTTCTTTGCTTGATTCTTCTACTATGTATCTGTGTTACCTGTTCCATCCGAGTCTTATTTGGTTTCTTGTCGAACTTCATCTAGAGTTTCTAGGCCTTCTTGCTGGTTCAATGATTATATTTGCAATTGTCAATTCACTTCATCCAGGTTAGTATTTGATTTCTAGTTTTATTTCTTACTCTCATTTGCCTCATAAAACTTAGTGTTTTTATTTTGTTTACTTCTTAAATTGTTGAACCCACTTCTTACAAGAAAGCTAGTTCTAATCCTCTTTTGCTACAAGCAATGCAACAAGAACTTCAGGCCCTAGAGTCAAATCACATGTGGTCTATTGTTCCTTTACCACCTGGGAAAGTGTCTATTGGTTGCAAATAGGTTTACAAAATCAAGTATTGAGCTAATGGTGAGATTGAATGGTACAAGGCTCGATTGGTTTCTGTTGAAAGCATTTTGATATTTCGATATAACAAATTAAGTTAAATGAATTTTAAGATTTTCCAAAATGATTTTCTAAGTATATTCGATATAATTTCGATATAACAAATTAAGTTAAATGAATTTTAAGATTTTCCAAAATGATTTTCTAAGTATATTCGATATAATTATTCGAATATCAAAACATTACTTAAAATATTTTAAAAATCATTTTTAATCCTTACTTAAGTGTAAAAAATAAGTTTTAATCTTAAAACAATTTCAAAATAATCTTTCAAAGTATTTCGAACCATTTCAAAGCCAAAAATTCCAGATTGCTCAGAGGGAACCGATTCCCCCCCCAAGGGGGTACCGATTCCCCCGTAAAGGGTTTGGCTCCGAGATTTCCAGAATGCTCGGAGGGAACCGATTCCCCATAGGGGGTACCGATTCCCCCCACGCTCCAAACTGTTTTATTAATTGTTTTCACACTAAAACGGCTATATGATCTTCACTAATCTTCCCCAACGTTCAGAAGAGATTCAAGGTGTATTTAAACAAGTTCTGAAGCCCTTGATCAACAAGAAATTATAGAGAAACAAGAGAGAAAGCATCAAACACCAAGTTTGTGCAAATCAAGCCAATTTTCCTTTCAATATTCATTTTGCTTTCAAGAACACCATTTGTGCTCATTTGTAATTATCTTTGAGTGTTCTTTTCTTGTTCTAGAATTGTGCAAACATCTTACCTTGTGAGGTTTTCTTGTAAGTTTGCAAATTTGTAATCTTCTCTTTGGGAAAAAGAGTGTTCTCAAGAGTTGGGTATACTCTTGAGGGATTTTGTAAGGTTATTTCTTTGGCCTCAAAAGAAAGAACAAATTAGTGAATTTGTTGGAAAATCCTTAGTGTGGATAGCTAAGGTAGTGGACGTAGACTTTGTTTGAGAAAGTCGAACCACTGTAAATCGCTGTGCAATTACTTTCAATTTTTCTGCAAAAGCTTCCACGAAATTTTTAATTGCCAATTCACCCCCCTCTTGGCCGATTCCGTCGATCGATTAACTCAACAGTTTCCAAAGAGTACAATCAAAGGGAATAAGTTGATTTTGTTGATACCTTTTTCCCTGTGGTGAAAATTACTACTATTCGGTTGGTTTTGGCAATTGCTTCGAATTTTCAGTGGTCTTTTGTGTCATATGGATGTACAAAATGCTTTTTTACAAGGAGATCTGCATGAAGAAGTTTACATGGACCTTCCTCAAGATTTTTGTAGTTAGGGGAGAACATGGTTTGCCGACTACAAAAGTCCCTTAATGGGTTGAGGCAGAGGAAGAACATATACGATAATTCTTCTATCTTCTCCATATTATAAATATTTTAATTAATTTTGACTAATTTATCATTATAATGTTCAAATGGTTTTACCATATTTTTATGTTATGCTTGATACTATAAAAATCATGTCTTACCTCCTAAAATATATTCCAAGAAAGTATTTATGTTTTATACCATCTTCATTTCCCTTTCTAAGCCGAGTATGTGCTCTTCCTATTCTATGCTCTGTAATAGGGGTGTAAAAAGTTGACCCGACCTGTAAAACTGATTGAAACCGACTCGAGTTAAAACTGTTTTTGACCTGCGTAGTGGCGATCCGAAACCGATTCAAGTCGGAACTGGTGTTGACCTGAACCCGAGTTAGACCTGAAAATTATGGATCTGAACCCGACCTGCATCCGACCTGAGAACGACCTGAACCCGAACTGCATCCGACTGATATGAACCCGAACCCGAGATTGACCTGGTAAATAACTGGTATTACCCGACCTGTTTTCAACCTGACCTGTTATGAACCTGACCTGTAATTGACTCAACCTGTAAATGATCTGATGTTGTTAAAATGATTTGATATTATCCTTACTTATAAGGAAAGTTACAATTAATATAATTATGTTATTTTAAATTTATAATAAACTTATGATAATTAAATTAATATGATTACTTTTTGAAAATTAGTTTTTATATTAATTATAATTTGTATATTATAAATTTGTTTTTTATGTTAATTCCAATTCATAATATTCTTTATATTTCTTATATTATAAATTTTATTTATAATCACTAAATTAAATTTAAATATTATCTTATTGAAGTTGATTTTATTAAATTATATTAATTGAGTTAAAATATTCATAAATCTAATTTACTTTTAATGTGAAAATTGATTAATAATTTAAGTAAACTTAACTTGAAATTTTAAAATCAAAAAATATTAGTTGAAATGATGGACTTATTAAAGATTAAAAACTTGAATAACATTTCAAATACTAAAAAAAATTATAAATAAAAGTAATTTTATTACATTTGAAAACACTAAAATTACAATAAAATAAACCAAACAAAATAATTTTATGTTGAAATAAATTATCTATGATCTTACAGCTAATGCTTACAAGGCTAAAAAGCCTAACTATACTACTAGAAATATCATTATCGAGCTTTTATACCTAAATGATGCCAACATGTTTAATTATGGGAAACTTTCTAGCTTTAAAAGTCAAAATGCCACCAACATAATTCCACATTAGTAACTATTTAGATAAGAATTTATAAGGTTCAAAATTGATTTAAATCAGACCAACAACAAGAATTTACAAGGCATCAGTGAGTAATAGACAGCAGCAACCAACAAGTATCAATGTACCAATTCAGCAACCATCGTTGCATCAATTCAGCAAGCATCCTGCATTAAGAAAGCATACAATCAGTGGTAAAGCCAAAGAGAATTCGATGGCCAACAAGGCCAAACATTTTCGACTTTACTAAACCCTTACAAATATCAAGTAGAAGCAAGCAATATCTGAATCTAATATATCTGAATCTACCATTAGATGCAGGCAGAAAGTATGGCCGGAAACGGTGCATGAAATTGAATATATCTGAATCTGCAACAGAAAGATGATCAAGTTGAGAAGAAACTAAAAGAAAACAACGAAGTCCTTATGTTTTTATGTACCTCTGTGTGTGTTTGTTTGTGCGTGAGAGAGAGAGAGATACGAGACCAGCATTTTAAATTAGACAATCAATGTTTAATTCACAAGACCAGAAGCAACCACACAAAATTGTGTTGAAAAACAAAAAGGGATTAATATTTTATCAATCCATACACATTTCAGAGACATGTGCAACAATGACTGCAGAAGATGATGGAAAGCGCACCATTCTTCTTCAAGCTTTGGCATTAATAATGTTGCAGGTTCCATTTCTTCAAACTCCATCACTCGTTTCAAATGTTCAAGACGGTGCTTATCCTACAAAAAGAGGGAACACATTTACAAGATAAGTTGAAAATTAGTTCGGATGGATGAAACCTCAGCCAATTTTGAAGATAGAGTACCTTAAATACACGTTGCCAGAACTGATATGCCATGTCTCTGACAAAGCAAAATTATTCACCTCAGACCACAAATATAGAAACAAGGAAAATGGGTTGGTTGAAGAATGCATTATTAACAATGAAGAACAATATGCAAGTCAGGTATCAACCAAATGTAAATCTTCTTGCACTACTTCCAAATACAAACTTACAAGTTGCTATTCACTAAAATGGTGGATATATAGCAACATCGACAGTATTTAAATTACATACAGAGAATACCTTACTCAAACTTTCCCACTATTGTTGTATCTTGAAAATTGAAGAGATAATCCTTATCGCCTTTTTAGATATAGGATCTGTTTGTTTAGATCTAAAATCTTTTATGATATGTTTTTCCCATGCAAAATAGAATTTTCAATTTGTGGATGATCTACTGGTATAAATAAAACAAATAGGTGAAACTCAATATAAAGCTATTGCGCCTACTTTCATCCATTTAAACTGGGAAGTGGAGCATCATTGATATAAAGCTCATTTTGATGCAAGTTTTTCTATTAAATGGATCGTTTCTCAAGGCCACAAAGAATAGTTCAGGAACAATCTAAAGTCTAATCCTTAACATTTACACCACCTGCATCAGTTGATTTTCCCCTCAAGAGGGCAGGTAGGTAATTTTCTATTATCAAACATCTGAACTTTAGAAAATTGAACTATGCAATTGATAATTTTGGATCAACATGAAATACAAAGGAATTAGAGCTGTATAAAGGTTGATTATATTGATTCATGTAGAATTTGGTTGGTATTATTATTTCAAAGTTCAAACCAACCTCAAGTCCTTCCTTCTTAACTTAGTTTCCTGGTTTCTCTTACTAGTCTCAAGCTACATAAATGAGCCTTACTATTCATAAGACTTCAAGCCGAAAAACCTAAAGAAGTAAAGATCTAATGATTTTGACGGTCAAGGAGGCTAGATGAATTAACAATACAACAAAGATTCACCAATTTAAACATATATAGAACAAAGAACAAGAATCAATGACTTATTTTGATATAATCAATAATAACAGGATGCAAGAACAAATGAAAATACAGTTGAATGAGAAAACTCACAGTTCCATGGTGCCACCAGCATTGGTGTGTTTAAGAGCTTCATTATAATCTTCTTAATGCATGAAAACGATTCCAGCAATCAACCTTAATGTGGCATTGTTTCCAATTTCTGGATCTGCCAACAACTCTTTCAAGCTCACAATTATTGACTCCTAAATGCAACAATTCAGTACAACCCAACCGTAAATCCCCATAAAAAAAACATAGTTTTCCCGTTCATTTAGCAGATCTTTACTTATAACAACAAAATTCAAGCAGATCTAAAAGGAAATTCACCTTATCGTGAGGGTTGGAGAGATATTGGGCCAGTAATTTAACGGCTTGGAGAGGAGTGGCGGCGGATGAGTCGATCTCATTGATCACCAGCTGAGATTTGAGAAACGAGAAAGAGTGTAAGAAATTGCGAATATTTTACGCGGGAGAAGAAAACGAAATGGAGTAGAAAGGGGGGAAGAGGTGCCTGGTAGCTGCTTAGTAAATTCGAAAACAAAAAAAAAAGTCTGACAAAGCAGTAAGGATAGAAACTGATCATGTTTATTTAAAGTGGAATAAATGAAACAAGGGGAAAATAGATCATATATTTACTCATCTGCACATATTATTGGCAGCAATCTCACAATAAATTGCAATCTCAATGACATAGAGGCTCGCAAAACTGCTGGGGAAGGAGGTGAAGACTCCACAGGTGCATGTGTTCGCCTAGCCAATCCAGGACCACCACCTATTGTACCTTTGCGATTATTAATTTTATTAGTAGAACCTTCAATTCCAGAAACAACAATGAAAGAGGGAAAACGAGAGAAAAAGGGGAAAATTTGGATGCTGAGCGGGGAAGAAGAGAGAACGAAAATAAAGGAGGGAGGGTTTGGAGGGAGGAGGCGGGAGAAAATGATTAATTTTGGTGCATGTTTTTAATTTCATCCCTATAAAATTTATATTAATAAATGATTTATAATTAATATTAAAATAATTATATATTATAGTTAATATTAATATAATTAGTATTAATATTAACTTATATTAATATAATATAGTTTATAATTTATAATTAATATTAATATAAATTATATAGTACATTAATATAAACTATAGTTTATAAATTATATACTATAGGTTATAAAGTATAAACTATATAGTACACTAATATAGTTTACATATACTATATAGTTTATATATACTAATGAACTATATAAGATATAGTTTATATATACTAATGAAATATATATAATGTATAGTTTATATATACCATATAATTTATATATATCATATAGTTTATATATACTATAATATAAATTATTTTATATAGTATATAAATATCAACTATAGTATATAGTTTATATGGTTTTTATATATAGTTCATATGTAAATTATACCATATAGTATATATAGTTTATATATATAATATATAGTATTAAATATAAACTATAGTATATATATATAGGTCATATGTAAACTATATAGTTTATATATATAGTTCATATGTAAACTATAGTTGATAGTTCATATGTAAATATCAACTATAGTTTATATGTAAACTATAGTTAGTATATAAACTATATAGTTTATATGTAAACTATAGTTCATATATAAATATTAACTTTAGTATATATATAGTTCATATGTAACCTATATAGTTTATATATATAGTTCATATATATGGTATGTAAATATAAACTATAGTTTATATACATAGTATAAAATATAGTATATAAATATAAATTATAGTATGTAGTTTATATAAATATAAATATAAACCTTAAACCCTAAACTAAACCCTAAACCCTAAAACCATAAGTTGCAATTCATAAACCCTAAACCTAACTCTAAACCATAAACCATATATACTACATATATATCTATATATATATAAACTATATAATTTATATTAATAAACTATATAATTTATACAATATATATTATTTATAATTATACGTAATATATAAATATAAATATAAATTGTATAGTTTATATATAATTCATATATAATTTATATATAAACTATGTAGGTTCTATATAGTTCAATAGTTCATATATAAACTATATAGTATTATAGTTTATTCACGGTATATATAATTTATACATAATATATATATATAAACTATATAATTTATAAATATAATACATATACTTTATATATAAACTATATAGTTTATATTATATATATATATATATATATATTAGTAGTTTTAATTTTTTTCTCAACTTTTAAAATGAATTCAATTTAGTCCATTTTACAATATTTTTCATATTTTATCCCTTTTGTGTTGTTTAATTTATTTAAATTTTTATTTGTAATTTCATATTTGTTCAATTTAGTCCTCCACATTTTATTTGCATATGAAATTGACCCATACTTATTACTTATTTCTATTTATTAATTGGCCCATAACTTTTTAAATGAGTATAATTTAGTACATTTTGTATTAATTTCAACCTCAAAATTTAAAATTATTTCGATTTGATCCCTTTTGTGTTGTTTAGTTTATTTAATTTTTTATATGTAATTTTATATTTGTTCAATTTAGTCCTCCAAATTTTATTTGCATATGGAATTGACCCATACTTATTACTTATTTTTATTTTTAAATTGGCCCATAACTTTTTAAATGGGTATAATTTAGTACTTTTTTTGTATTAATTTCAATATCACAATTTAAAATTATTTCGATTTGATCCCTCATCAATGTGTGCTATTTAATTAATTTAAATTTTTATTTGTAATTTCATATTTGTTCAATTTAGTCCTCCAAATTTTATTTGCATATGAAATTGATCCATACTTTTTACTTAATTCTATTTTTTTAATTGGCCCATAACTTTTAAATGGGTATAATTTAGTATTTTTTTTGTATTAATTTCAACATCACAATTTAAAATTATTTTGATTTGATCCCTCATCAATGTGTGTTGTTTAATTGATTTAAATTTTTATTTGCAATTTCATATTTGTTCAATTTAATTCTTAAATTTGTATTTTTCAAAAAATTTAACCATGATTATTTATATTCTTAGTAATTTACTCTAAATCATATACAATTAGAAATTGCAATTCAACATTCGCGAAAGACGAAAATAATTAATCCAAAAATAAAAATTAACCCGACTTTAACTCAATCCGTATCTGATAGAGATCCGACCTGAATTTTATATGCCAATGATGTGACCCGATCTGAACGAGATCCGCCTGAAGTCTATCCGAACCTGAATTAACCTGCTTTTTAACTGCTTCGGACCTAAACTGGCAACGATCCGAACTGAAAATGACCTGACCTGAACCCGATCTGGATTTGGTGTCAAATTTACCTGACTTGACCTGTATCCGATTTTACCCGACCTGCCAAGATTCGACTGAAACCTAAACGATTACCCGATTTTACAACCCTACTCTGTAAAATAGTATGTGTTCGCTGAATCCCGAATGATATACATTCTTATAAAATATATTTAAGGATAATATTCCGCGCACGTCTCGAACAACTCTTATCCTTCTATTTTTCTTATTTAATCTATCGGTTCAATTTTTTTTTCTTCAAGTATATAAAAGTACATATACACCAACACCAGTGGCGGAACTATGTCAATTAATTTTTTAATGTTAATTAATACTAAAAAATTATATTTCTAGAAAATAAATAAAATAAATTTTATCGGACACCCTTAATTGAAAAAAATATATATTTTTTAAAAATAAAAAATATTTTTAATAAAATTTTAATTCCACCCTTTACCAGCTCAATATCTAAGCATGCAAAACTGATGGTAGACAGATCTCAGTTTTGACAACACATGTTTCCCCGTCTTAGAATGAAAGGAATCAAGCACATAAAAGAATACTCGATGTAATCTTTGTCAAAGAGAATGCCATTCCGTGGGAAAGGATAAGTAATATTTAGGGTGCGTTTGGTTCACGGAATGTAAGATTACCAGTAGGAATAAAAGATTACCAGAGAATAAGATTACTGAAAATGTTGTATTTTGTGTTTAGTTGGATTAGCAGGAATATAAGATTACCGTGTTTGGTTAAAGGAATAAAAGATTATTGAAATATATATTTGACCAAATTGTCCTTATTATATATTTGTATAATATTACAAATTGTAAAATATTTATATATTTTATTTAAAAAATTAAATTCATAATATTTATATAATTTTTTTATAAAATTAAAAATATAAAAAAGGTTTAATGAAAGGGTAAAAAAAATTTTAACCCCTGAACTTCATATAAAATTTTAATTATAGACTTTTTTTGTAAATATAAAATAATTTAAGGAAAATTTTGTAATTTAACATTCGTAGAATTTTTATTATTTAATGACAGAAGAATGATATTTTTGAAAAAAGTAAATATTTAAGGGCATTTTGGGAATCCCACATTCCCATATTTGGTTGACCGGGAATCTCATTCCCGGTAATGTTTTATTACCAATAGTAAATTTTTTGGGGTATATTACCGGGAATGTCATTACCTCCCTTCCCTTAGGTATTGTAACATTACCAGCGTTTTGGACTAAAATGCCCTTAAAATTTTGTTTTTTTTCAAAAATATCATTCTTCTGTCATTGAATAATAAAAATTCTACGAAGGTTAAATTACAAATTTATACTTAAATTATTTTAGATTTACAAAAAAAAAAAATCTATAATTAAAATTTTATATGAAGTTCAGGGGTTAAATTTTTTTTACCATTTCATTAAACCTTTTTTATATTTTTAATTTTATAAAAAAATTATATAAATATTATGAATTTAATTTTTTAGAGAAAATATATAAATATTTTACAATTTGTAATATTATACAAATATATAATAAGGACAATTTGGTCAAATATACATTCCAATAATCTTTTATTCCTTTAACCAAACACGGTAATCTTACATTCATGTTAAACCAACCAAACACAAAATACAACATTCCCAGTAATCCTATTCCCTGGTAATCTTTTATTCCCACTAGTAATCTTACATTCCGTGAACCAAACGCACCCTTAGATTTTTTATAATTTTGAGGGTAAACTACTAAATTGGTAACTTTCTTTTTATGTTTATATAGTTTTACCTCTCAAATTCAAAAAACTTAAATTTTGATCACTTATATTATCAATTTAGTCTTATGTTATCAATTATTATATTTTGGTTATTAAGCCGTTAACTCTGTGACACATTAGTTAAAAGAGATTAATTTTTAGTTTTATCCTTGAACTTTATATAAAATACTAATGTAATCCTAAACTTTAGATAAATTATCATTTTAACCCTAAACTTTAGATAAATTATCATTTTGACCCATAAATTTGACCAAAGTCCCATGTCGCCGTGAACACTCCCACCACTATCGTTGTCGATCATTGTTAATCGGTGTCGGTCACCATTGTTGTTGACTGTTATACCTAAAAAATTTGCAGTTCACTCTTTATTTGACATTTTGAATACAAATCTAGTGTCTTACTCAATAGAAATATATGAAACTTAAAAAATCTACCCTATAACTCTTAGATTTCCTTTAAAGTTAAATCATAATAATAAATTTATTATTAATATTCCTTTAAAAGTAAAGATACTAAAAATCGAAATCTATATCATAATGAAATGTATACAATTTTTGTTTATAATATTATAATATTATTTTTTGTTATGTGTTTATATTAATTATAATTTTTTAATATTTATAAATATTAGAGATGTTATTTCAATATGGTAGTTTACCCCCAAATAAAAATAAGTTTGAAATTTCCCCTTTTTACAGAAAAGAAAATTTTTGAATATTTTAATAGATTAGATAAAAGAGTATCTCGAAATCTCGTCCCCTTTTAATTATAGTACAACTAAATAATAGTAATTTAAAAAAAATAGTAAGCTTTTTTTATTAAACTTAATTATAATTAATTAATGAAATAAAGTTTTAAATCTCTAAGATTTATGTTCAAGTGTTGTATTAAATAAATTATATAATTTAATATTTATTATATTTAATTTTAATTTATAATTATTTAATTTAAAAATATAAATAATTGATTCGATATTAAGATTAAGCCCAAAACAAAGACAATGAATATCAGGTCACGTTGTATACTATTTTTCTCTTATCATCTCTTTTAATCTTCAAATATAAAATTTTATTAGAAAACACACTATTTACTCTCTATTTTCTGTTGTGGCATAAAATCAAGATTAACTAACAATATCATTCAAACTCTTTTATATATTTCCGTTCGTTAGATACCAACAATTAGAAATGCTCAATATTTTGATAAAAAGAAAAATAAATTAATTAAAATTTTCAACTCGTAAAATTTGGACTCAATTTATGATTGAAATTTAATTTACTTTATGTTAGAATTAGATTGAAGTTTCATTATCATTTCCAAAAAATAGCTTTGATTTTGTATTACTTTTAAAATATTAAAAAAATTTAAAAATATATTATAATTTAAAATTATTAAAAAATTATAATTAATATTATAAATATAACCCAAAATTATAACATAATAATATTATAAACAAAAACTTTATGAATTTAATTATGATATGAATCTAGATTTTTTATGTTATTATTTTTTAAATAAATATTAATAATAAGTTTATTATTATGGTTTAATTTTAAACAAAGTCGAAGGGTTATAGATTAAATTTGTTGAGTTTTAGATTTTTTTGGTGAAATAAACATCGAATTCACGTTCAAAATGTAAAAAGGAGTGAACAATAAATTTTGATGTCTAATAGTCGACGCCGATGACAGTCGATGTCAACCAACAATGATCGATAGTGACGATGATGAGTGGTGGCATCAACGAGAGACTTTGATTGAATTTATGGGTTAAATTGATATTTTAATTAAAATTTAAGAGTCAAAATGATACTTCATATAAAGTTCAAGGTCTAACTAATATTCTATCTAAAGTTCAAGGGTAAAATTAAAATTTAATCCATTTTGACTAATGAGTCATGTCATATGTTTAATGAGAATTAACAACGCAGTAACAAAAATGTAATAATCAATAACATTAATAATCGAAATTTTAATAAATCGGTAACATCAATCAAGTAGTTTACCTTAATTTTTAATATTAAAATTATTTTAAAATTTATGCTTTGGATATATTTGATTTTATATTTTTATATATTATATAAATAATAATATCAATGAATTAAAAACAACTAACTTAAAATTATAATAATTTAATAAAAAATCAATTTGATTTTTATAGGTACACATAGAGTTATACAAAATTAATTTGATAAAAAATATAAATATGCAATAAAATTCTACTTAAATTTAACAAAGATAATAAATTAATATATAAAAATTATATATCTAAATTATATAAATTAAATTTGTATTACCTTTTAAATTTTCTTTTATAATTTCCACCCACCCCACTTTCATCTCCGTCTCTTCGCTAAACATGCCTCCGCCTCCTATTCTCTCGCTCTCCTTTTAACACAACCCTCCTCGTCTGGTGCCCGATCCAAGCAGGTAAGTTTTGAAACCCTAAAATTAACTTTAAATTTCTGGTTGAGTCACTAGAATTTGAGTTACGGATCGGGTTGTGGTATCTGATCTCTGTCTCTGAATTACCTTGCCATATTTGATTGTTTGCTTGTTACTCTTCTCGTCTTGTTCTCTCTCTTTGTGTTCACACTGTGGAGATTGAGAATTTTTTTTTTCTTTTGGAGAGGAATATATCGGCTTAGCAGGAATAGGGGACCATTATCGTCGCTACTTTCTGTTATTCTGCTGTTTGTTGCCGTGCTACACCGCTATTGATGTGAATTTTCTTTACGGTGGCGCAGGTGCGTCTATAAGGACACAGCGGCTGCGTCACTACTGTGCCACCCCTATTTGAAACCCTATAACGTACTTATCAAAACTATCATTTCTTAGTAAGGATTTGAGATAAGTTTTAGGTTAGGCTTGGAGACTTGAATTTCAATAATTTGTTTTAACTTTAAAAAATAATATATATTGTGTAATAAAACACATGTAATGTTATATTTCTGATATTTTTCAAATTCTGTGATATTTTGGATGTTTATTATAGGAGAATTTGAATATTTGATATATATATATATAGAGAGAGAGAGAAAGTTATCTGTGAATTTAAATTCATGTTCTAATATCTTTCAAGCATGTAATCTAATGATTCTTAATTCGTTTTACATGATGTGTGCATTTCATCCTCACAATTTTGGTCATCAATATTTAGTTTAATAGTAAATTTAAGACAAATGGATACAATGTTATTAACGAATGTATATTTGATGTTGCAATAAAAACTACCATTAATTAGTAAGGTTTTCAAGTAAGTAAGCTTACAATCTTATACATAATCACAGCATATGCATTTCATTAAGCTTACTATCTTATACATAATCACAGTGTATGCATTTCATTCGCATAATTTTATATAAAAAAGGAAATTTAAATCCAAATTTTTAATTCATTTTTCTAAATATAGTGTTGGAGAGAACTTTTCATAGTATATGTATCATGGTGCAGAGTAGTAGTACCATTCAGTTATTTATCTGGATTGATTTGATGATATTTCAGCTAATGGATATAGTTGTCATATGCAGAGTAGTAGACTTGTAGTACATCTATCATGTCCGAAGCTCCAAAAAAATTGAGTGAACAATATAAAGGTGGACCTGATTTCTTTGGCTTCTATGCTTGTCAAATAGCTGATCTGTTGTCAGAAGATGAAAATGTCTTGTCCATGTCCAATGCTTCTGAGTTGTCTCAAGGGAAATATGGGGCGGTCAGTGGTAAAGACACTTTGGACTGCAGTTGTAAAGACGCTGATTCACTCTTCCAAAACAGCATTGTTGCTGGGATTTCAGATTTCAAGAAAGGAAGATTGAAGGGATTACTTAGGCAGAGCGTGAATGATCTCTCAATGGAAGTTGATGAGGTACAAATTCTTTCCACTCCTGTTTTCTGAAGATAAATGAGTAATGATGCCTACTATTGGGCACTTGTGGAATTTGATTTTCTCAAAGTGCTTATGGTTTTTGTATTCGAAACTTCTAAAGTTAATAGTACATTTTTTAGCTTTTTATAATATCAAACAATCATATTCTCTCCTAAGACAAATGAAAATCATTAATAGACAAAATTTGGAAGCCTCATTGCTCTCATGCTTGTGTACCTGATATCCCGCGCTCGTAAACTTTGGTTTTATGTTCTGCCATCTCAAAGCACTAATTTCTTTCTAATGATCAAGATATATCCCATTTCAGACCAGTCATAAAAAATTATTGGTTTCATTTTTCTCTACCAATGTTTTCAAGGGTGCAAGTTATAAAAATTCTTGCATTGAATATACTATTTTGAAGAACACGTTCATTCCTATTGTCACTTACGTGAATCCCTTTCTATTTTTTATCACTTCATAGTAACCTTTAGCTGGCTTGCTGCTTTAATGGTGCCCTTCTATTTTGTTTACCTGAATTGCTAGCTCTTTGTGTCTCTCTATAATTCTTTCAAAGTAAATGATCAATGAAACAATAATGTAGAATTGGTTTTTGGCTCCCATCTTTCAGAGGGAAAAATATTGTAATAACTGAAAATTTTGATTATTGCAGATGTTAGATCCTGTTGTGGCTATGTCTGAATTACGTTTTAAGCTCAGAAGCAACAACTTGGGGAATTCAGCATTAGATGGTGATGCAGACCAGGCTGCCAGTAAGAAACTTAAGTTATCATCTTCCTGCTCATCAACCAACATCACAGGAAATTCTTGTCCTATCAAATCTGGATCTTGCAAAGAGGTTATATTTTACACTTATCCCATTGTTGAATCTTGGTATTGGTTCATCATAAATTATTTCATGCGCAATAAAAGGAGCACATGCATTATCTTCGAATAGGTCATTAGATTGTATAAAATGCCAATTGCCAAGTTATTATACTGAAAATGAACAGATTCTAGATATTCAGATTGCAATTAGTTTGTTCTGTGGAACTTTTGGCGGCATTGGATATATTTGCACATTGTATCTATAGTCATATATGCATATTCTATTTGAAGCAGCAGAGGCATTTTTCTCTTTTGCTTGTACTTACAAAATGATGCATTATCATTAGTAACTTGTTAATAAATGTGTTCCATTATACTTTTTACTTTTTTTTAGAATGAAGATGATTTGGAGTTCCTTCTAAAGAACGATAACCAGCTGCTGGTAGAGGAAACAATGAGAAAATATTCTGATGAACTATCCTAAACGGTGATTTTCTAGAAATTGTCCTTTTCAATAGTTTGTTTTTGGGTAAAGTACACAAATGATCACTAAACTGTGTTGAAATTATCTTTTTGTCCGTTGAAGTTTTGAAAGTTACAAAATGATCATTAAACTTTTTGAATTGTTACAAAATGGTCATTAAACTTATCTAATTGTTACAAAATGGTCATTGCACTTATCAAACTATTACAAAATGATCTTTAAACTTACGGAAATTTATCACTATTTTATAACATGCAATGACCATTTTTTAACAGATCAATAAATTTAATGACCATTTTGTAACTTTTGAAACTTCAGTTGTCAAAAAGATCATTTTAGTATAATTTAGTGATACTTTTGTACTTTACACTTTGTTTTTTCATACTCTTCTGTGTCATGTATGCCACTTTCCGAAAATTATTTATAGCTGAAATCAAGTGATATCTCTTTTCAGCTGGTGCATATGGAACAAAAGCTTGAAGAAACTTTAGATACTATAATGTCCAAGTGTAGGTATGGCTTTGTTCCCGAGGAACTTACAGCTTTGAGTGTGCTTTACACACCGTGCTATTCTGCAATGGATATTAGGTGCTCATATTATGTATTTTACCTTTCACATGTGCATATGCTGTTATAATACTGCCACTTTTTGCCTCGCTTCAATCAGTTTTTGTGCTTTTAACTTCAATTACAGGCCTATGACACGCACTGAGAAGCGGCAGCTTCAGAAAATGATACAACAGCTACCCAACATAAATCTTGTCCGTTTGGTTGAAATTATCCAACGTGGTAGGCCAACCAGAAATACTTGCGGTGAAGAAATCTTTGTTGACCTGGAAACAGAGGTAAAGAAATAGCTTCGAGTAACATGATTTCAGGAGTTAAGTCTACAATTTCAAACCTGTACCAAGGCTATGTCTTGTCTTACAGGAAAATGCGACGCTCTGGAGATTATATTACTACGTTGAAGCAGTTGAGAAGGCCAAAATGCTTGCACAATTGCAATTTAGTACAACCCCAACATTATAGCCATCTTTCTGAGACCATGACAGCAGTTATACATGGCCTTCGTTCAGTGAATACCATCAGAAGATTTTCTGCAGGCATGCTAATGATCCATGTAAATTTATTCTTTTTTTCTCAAGGTGTTGACAAACTCAGACTTGCAGAAAATTGAAATAAATTGCACAGCGATTTAGAGTGGTTCGACTTTATCAACCAAAGCTACGTCCACTACCTTAGCTATACACACTAAAGATTTTCCAACAAATTCATTAATTTGTTCTTTTTTTTTAGGCCAAAGAGATAACCTTACAACTCCCTCAAGAATATACCTCAATTCTTGAGAATATTTTTTTTTTCAAAGAGAAATACAAATTTGCAAATTTACAAGAAAAACCTCACAAGGCAAATATGTTTGTACAATTCTAGAACAAAGAAAGAACACTCAAGAATAAATACAATTGAGTACAATAAGTGTTCTTGAAAGTAAAATGAATATTGAATGAAAAATAGGTTTGAAATGCTAAAACTTGAGGTTTGATGTTTTCTTTTTGATTATCTCTTGATTCTAATTGTTTGATGTTTCTTGTTATTGATCAATGGCTTCTAAGCTTGCTCAAATACACCTTGAATCACTTCTGAACGTTGGGGATGATTAGAGAAAATAATATAGCCGTTTTAGTGTGAAAACAATTAATAAAACAGTTTGGAGCGTGGGGGGAATCGGTACCCTTATGGGGAATCGGTTCCCTAAGTGTAAAATTCAAATATTTCGACCGTTATATAAGGGGGGAATCGGTACCTCCTGGGGGGAATCGGTTCTCTCTGAGCATACTGGAATTCTCGGAGTCAAACCATTCAGGGGGGAATCGGTACTCCCTTAGGGGGGAATCGGTTCCCTATGAGCAGTCTGGAATTTTTGGCTTTGAAATGGTTCGAAATACTTTGTAAAATTATTTTGAGATTAAAACTTAATTTTACACTTTGAGTAAGGATTAAAAATGATCTTTGAAAGATTTGGAGTAATGTTTTGATATTCGAATAATTCTATCGAATATACTTAGAAAATCATTTGGAAAATCATAAAATTCATTTAACTTAATTTGTTATATCGAAATATCAAAATGTTTTCAACAATATGCAATATACATTGAAACATATTTGTAAATTCATTAGCCAAACAATATGCTTCTCTGGCAGCACAATAGTTTTAAGGTATGCAATTTTTGGTCCATTTAAGTGTAACTTCATAAAATTTCAAGTGGATTTATGAATTTAGGGTTTAGATTTTGGGATTTTGGGAGTTTGAAGCTACGATTGCCGGTGGACGGTGGGTAGGCAACAGTGGTGGACAGTCAACGGGTGGGGTGGATGCTTTGGGATTTAGGATTTTAGGACTTTTTTAGGATTTAGAAATTTTTTGGGACTTTTTGGAAAACAATAATAATTTTAAGTTTTTTTTAAAATAAAATTTTTAGAAATTTATGGACATGTAATGCGTTGCATTTTGAGTGGTATACAGAATTTTTTAACGTCTGTTACGGGCTAGACACCTAAATGATTACATTGGAAATGTTAGGTATATAAATTAACCAAAACAATTAGATACCTAAAGGGAAAAGAGGTATAGCTTAGACAGTTTTTTTATATTAATCCTTTGTTTTAAGTACTTTATTTAAAAATGCTCTTTGTTTCCATTTGATCATAATCTTGATGTTGGGTTTTCATATATATATGTCATTGTATTTCTTTTATTTGCAACAATGTTTCTTTTCTTTTGTAGTTTTATAATTATTTTTATTTAACAAAAAGTTAAAGGTATATATTCCGATATTTGAGCAAAAAAAAAATTTCTAGCAATAAGGCTTTTGAAAAGGGGAAGAAATTATTTTGAAATTTTTTTCCTAAAGCAAATCTTACTTGAATTTGTTTTTAATATAAAAAAGGATAGATTATTACCTTTCTAAAATCGTTCTGATATAATAATAAAGTGTTAATACTACAAAAAAAAATTGTACTCTCTAATTTTCAATCCGAAATTTGTACAGCCCTTTAAATTAATTATATTTTTAATAGATATTTTCTTAATAAATTACATTAGATATTAATTAATTCCTATGAAACTATTGTTTGAGCTGTGCAAAATGATTAAGAAAAACATTTCGGCTTTAAGTTGATGTATAGTTGCCATCGAGATGATGGTCCAGAATAAATGTTGCAAACCAAAACACACCATTAATGTAATGCACCAATGCCCATCACTAACTAAAATATCTTTTTTAAATAAATATGAAACAATAAAATGATTTATTCACAATTAATCTTTTATTATTATTAAATAGAAATTTTAATAGAAATAGAATTAGATTATATTTTTTTATTAAAATTATAATTGTTAAGAATTTTTATTTGTTTAGGATTGGAGCACTTAATATATTTAAGTCAAAATCAATAATTAAAGTTGAGTATTAAAATATTTTTTCATAATTAATATCAAGAAAAATAATTTTAACCATAATTAATAATTAAAGTTGAGTATTAAAATTAATGCTAATTAAAATTATTGGGCAAAATCAAAAATCAAAACAAAGTCAAAATCTTGACATGCTGTTAGACCATTCAAAATTAAAACAAAAAATAGAGGGCGAGTTAAATGGCGACGGCTTACACGCGATATTGGCAACGGATTGGTGACAGCAGTTGAGCAGTCGCGGTTGGCCTGGTTGGGACGAGCGACGGTCTTGGATGGTTATTAGGCGGCTTACACGAGTTGAAAAAAAGAGGAAAACGACTGGTGCCGCGGGACGAAAATGGCAACGACAATGGCAGGGTTAATCGACGGTCCATAGCTGGGCGACTTTTGATAACGACAAAGACCGGTTTCCTCTTGGCGGGAATGATATAGGTTGAATAATACGATTTTCCGACGAAGATAGGGTGGCCGACAATGGTTTTGATAGTTACTCTAGGATGATTTTGCAAACTTAAACAAATTGAGTACTCAAATCCTAAAGAAATAAAAATTCTTAAAATAATTATAATTTTAATAAAAAAAAATATAATCTAATTATATTCCTATTAAATTTTATATTAAATAATAATAAAAGATTAATTGTGAATAAATCATTATATTATTTCATGGATGAGTCTACAACACACACCACACACCACACACTGATATGTACCGATATAAATTTATAAATAATCATTAAACTATGATAAAATAATTTTTTTGGTCATTCAACTTTTTAAAAAAATATAAAATGAATATTAAATTTTAGATTTCATTAAAAATAAGTATTGACACTTGACTCTCGTTAAGGCTGATGTGACATATTAAATTAATAAAAAAATCTCATTTACTCCATCAAACTAAAATTTTGTTTTTTGATTTTTTTAATAATTTTAAATAATAATTCCAAAAAAAATAGATTTTTTTAAATATATGGATTTTTAAAATTTATTTTTGAAATTATAAATATATTTTTAAAGTTATATTTAAAACTATTAAAAATAGTTAAAGAAATTGAATCACATTGTTTAACAAAAATTGTTTCATTTTTATAACTAAAGTTATTGGATTTCAAAAATTATAAAATTTCAAATATAATCATAATTAAATAAAAAATTAATTATAAATTTTTTTGAATTAATAAATTATAATTTTAAAAAAATAGTTAGAGTTTTATGAATGAAAAGATTAATTATAAAGTTATAATTTTTAAAAAATATTTTTATGATTTTAAAAATGAATCTTAAATATATATATATATATATTTAATTGATTTTTAGAATCATTATCTCAAAATATTGAAAAATATCAAAATGAAATTTAGTTTATAATTGAGGGTTGAATGAGATATATATATTTTTTGATTAATTTAACATGTTAAGTTATCCCTTCAATGATATTTAAAGATGTGATATTCATTTTGTAATATAGTTGAGGGATTGATTGAATGAGATATTATATAATTTTTAGAAGTTCAATGTTCAAAATGAATATTTTAGTATAATTTAATGACCATTTAAAAGTTTTACCTTCAAAATTAATGGTACATTTTAGTACATGACATGTATTGTAGAATTTTCTATTATTTCATATTTATTTAGTAAGGATATTTTAATTAGTGATGTGCATCGGTGTGTCACATTAATAGTGTGTTTCGGTGTGCGCCTTGCACTCTAGACTCATTATCGAGATGATTGTTTGTCAATTTGGCTATGAGAACACTCTAAATTGTTTTAAATTACTTAATTATCGAATAATATTTTTTTCAAAAGAAGATATAAACTAAATTTCGAAAGTGGGATTTTTATCAGAATAATACTAATTTTTTTTATTTTCTTAACTAACATTTGAAAAAAATATTATTTTAAAAAAACAATACTCTCTTGAAAAATACGTGTCATGTTAGTTGCGCTTTTCTATAAGCACGTTCAATAGGATGTATCTTTATTTGATGTGGCGTAGAATTTGGACAAAATCTCCTAAATTTATATTGCTCAAAACTAAAATGAAAGAAAAGAGAGAAGTGGACAGAAAATATATATATAAAAATGTCTTATGTGATACATACCAAAGATACATATTTGCATGAACATGAGTGAAATGATGTCGCTATTGCACATATATATGCTTTGTATTCAATCATCTCGATGTACGCATATTTAAAAGTTTATATTTAAATATATTTAAAGATTTATATAAACAATATGATATTTGGAAATATCATAGTCAAATTTATTAGTTTTGAACTATAAAAGATAAGGTCTGAACTTAACCAGATGCATATTAATACGATAATCATAGATATATATTATTTAAAAAAAAAGCTACTGACATGATGCATCTTTGTCTTATTTTCTTAAATATTTTTTTGATATATATATATATATATATATATATATATAAAAATATTTAATTCAAATAATATTGCCTTTCAAAAGTGATTTTAAGACAAGAAAGAGAAGGACAAAGAAGAAAATGATGAAATGGGTTAGCATCAAATGAGCCGTGATGTGAAATTTGTGAAACTTTTTCTTCTTTCTAATACAAAAACAAACGATAAATTGTCTGAAATAATTATTGATTTCCCACTCATTACCGGAAAGGAAGGGTTTCCTCTCCTCTTTTTCAGACAAACTTTGAGAAACCCTCAAGTTTATGTACATTTAAATCAACATAACTCATCATGCATGCTCCTTAATTTATGTTTTTCACATATATTACTTATGTCATGTGTATGTGTATGATAAAGAGTATATTTTTTATTTTTTATTTTAAAAAATTATTTATATTTTTAGATAATTATACTCTCATATTATACATAATTTCAATAACCATTGATATAGGCTCTAAAGAAAAAAAATATTATGATTACATATTAAATCATCACTCATCCACATAGCTAGGTTAATTCCATTAAAAATATTATTGAAAAATGAAATGATACATATGTTATATAGAGGTGTCAACTGAATTGGATGAATACATGATGTTTCCTTGTATCATGGGATAAACGCAATATTTTATGTTTGAGAGTAAATTTATAAAATTTTAGAGTATAATAAATCTATAAAATTTTAGGAGTGATAACAGATTATTAATAAGAACATAAAAGAAATATATAAAATATATAAAAATTTAAAATTTTTAAGAGTACTTATATCTGTCGTCATAAAAAAATTCAATCACCATCTTGATCTTGTGATCTGTTATCCAAATCATCATTGCCTCGTGACCCATAAGACTAAAACTATACCCCTCACACTATCTACGTCGATCTCAAGACACACATAATCCTTGTTATACTTATCGCACAACCTACACATAATATTTTAAATGTATCAGTTAAATAAATATTAACTAAATTTTCTTGAAAAAAGTATAAAATATTTATCCTTTGGACTACCATCACACATATGACATTATTCCAACTGCCATTGTTTAAAAAACAATAATAATCATCATATAAATATGAGAAAATATTAAATTTAGTTTAAAAATATAAATATTAAATTTATTATTATTTTAAATCTTACAATAACTATATTTTAATATATATATATAATGCATTTAATTATAAAAAAAATATTAGATTTGTTTTAGCTGTATAAGTGTTATCATATTTTATAATTAGTCTAAATTCGAATTCTTATTTAACTATTTTTATTTTTTCCTAGCATTAATAATATTATAAGATAAATAAAATTTGTTGTAATTTATCAATTAAATGAGGCCTTTGGCATGTTGTTAGTGCGCTCATTTTCCCTCCTAGTAAACCCAGGTTTGATTCCCCTCAAACCTCAAACTCAATCTTGATGACAACACATGTTATCATATGATTGGATAAAAATGTATTTAATTAAATAAATTAAAACTAATAAAAAAACCTTCCAATTAGGTGGTAACATGCATCGCCTCTTGATTAGAGGGTTAATTTTTTAATTAAATTAAAATCAGGACTAAATTGATAAATTATAAAAGTGATTAGGACCAAATGTATAACTATGCTAACTTTCTTAATTGTCATGTTAGCCCCTACGTCAAATGTTAACAATAGGTGGCTGAATTGATAATATTTAAATAATTAAGTTATTTGATTTACAAAATTAAAAGATCAATGGTCAAAATAGAATCCTTCCATAATTAAGTGGTCATGAATATAATTTACCCTTTTAAATTTTACAGTGGAGAGAAGAAAAAAATAAACAATGAGTTATTAGAAGGATTAAATTTTTAAAATTAAGACTAAATTAAAATAATGTGCAAAAATTAAAGATTAAATATATTATTATGCTAATTTTATTAACTATCACAACATTACTATCACTTTTTTTTAAAAAAATAGAAAACGATCAACTAACTTTTTTTTTCAAATGAGATGACCAATTTGTAATTTTTATAACTAGGAAACGTTATTAAAAAATCTTGCAATCAAAGATTTATTTGTATATGCTATTTTATAAACTATAAAAATATAAATAAATTTTGAAAAGGTTTTGGTTCTATAATATATACAAATGTAAATAAATTTTCAGAAGATCTCCGAATCTGAAAAATCAAACCAACATTTTGTTGGCTAGTCGTACAAAATTCCATAAGTATCCTATAATAGTGCTATTGCATTAATTAACTTTGGGTACCGCATGTCAATGCATGGGGCAGCTTGTTTCCATGCAGTGGCAGAGGTAGGCTTTGTACGGTTATCATGAAATTTGAACTTTTTATGTTTAATAATTTATTTTATTGAAAGTGTTAATCTTGAAATTTTATTTGTGTTCAACTTATATTAAAAATATATGTTATTAATATATATGTACCTACCTCAAAAATATTTTTAAATCTACAACTGTTTCTATTACATCCATTTGAAAATGTGTATGCTCCTAATTCCTAACCCACCCTTAAATAATTATAAACCATATTTAACACTATTCCTTTTCAAAGTAAAGACAAATATTTTATTGATGCACATCTATTGCGTAGTGGGATATAAAAGCCCTACAACAAAATACAACACAAACATAAGCAAAAAAAATTTACTATTTGTTTAATTTTGAGTGGAAATGGGGAATGAAAGGTCAAGGAGACATGCAATCATGAAAATTGAATGATATACAGTTAATTATTTATTCTAATGCCAACCATTTGATTGTGTATGGGTCCATCATCTATTGCACGTGCACCATGCAAATATTTATAACTTTTACTATCGACACTAATATTCAACGGACCACACCAAGCTAAAATAAGAATTTTATTCGATGTTCGTGTAATCATTTTAGGAAGCGTTGATGGAATAAAGACGATTATGTTGATTTAAAGTGATATAATCATTCTGATTTGGATAGAGAGTGCTCTTTAGTTCAGGGGGAAAAATAGTCCAAAACCTCCTCTTGTATGCTCTTGAGGTTTATATGTTGACCACGAACTGATTGCTATACATAGGTCGATAGGGTGTATAAATGTAGCTGTTAATTAGTAGATTTGGTCAAGAAAAATCTCTTGAGTTCATCAAGAATCTTTTCAAGAGTCATCTCGAGGACTTGTGCTCTTCGATAAATTCTTCTGGATGTGCTTGCTGACATATTGGTGGAGAGTGGTATTGTCGGAGGTATAACAAATTATCCTCCCATTTTCAAGGAAATTCTATAAAGTGACTCGACTCGAGACTTAATACCTCAAAAATTGATAGGACCAAGTGGGTTATGACGATTATTGACGGCTCACCTCTTCTGATTTGGAAGACAGCCACAACTTATATATGGGAGGTCAATCGTTGGTTGGTGTCAATGTTTTCGGTTTTCATGAGTAGGTTAATTTGATAGATATAGTCGGTTATTGATTTATTTTGAAAAACTATAAGGGGTTGTTTAAAGGTCATGCTAAGATTGTGACTTCATGGGAGGAGTAGCGCTCCAGTGACTATACGCCTGGAGGTTTTCTTTTGGAATCATCTTGGGCTATATTTGCTTCGATGTTGTGATTGTTGAATAGTCTTGTTATTAAATCTAGGCAAATGATATGCGAACTAGACAGAGTTATTTCTACGATTGCATATGTTCTCAAATGGCTAAATCAAGTGTAATGATTTCTAGACCCGTGCTTATTCAATGTGAAGGATTATCCTCTACTATTGAGCTGTTGGATAGATTCAGAGGGAATTCGGTATGTGTGTACTCCCAACGAAGCATTTTCAATGCCTTTTTAGATATTTCCTGGGCAGAGTTTTCCTCCGACTATATAACTAAATTTTTCAGTGGAGGAGTCTCGACGCTTGAGTGTGATTTAGTTGTTTGGGCAGTTTTAGCTAAGGCCCTCGTATGTTTCCCTGTGGGGTTTCTCTATATTTATCTGATAAAGGTGATGAGAATACTATCGTGCGGAGTGTACATTGGAATTTATCTATGAATATACTTGAATTTGAGGTTTAAGTATGTGTTCTAAAAGTTTGCGGAGTTATCTTAGAGACTTTTTCGAATTCACACGTATTATTTTGTGAAGGGCTCTTGGTGCTCTAGCATGTTGTTTGCGGACGTTGCTCAATTCTTTTCAGGGTGTTTTTTTTTAATAAAATAAAGGTAGATGAAGTAGTTTTCAAGCCCACTTAGACTCCTTAAGGATGTTTCTCTATGCTAATGGGTATATGATTTTATTTTGTTCGGACTGAGTTTAACTCTTGCCTCAGATTTATTTTATGTAGAGTTTTCTCAAAAATGTAAAATTTTTGGATGACAACAGGGAATGTTATGACATGGTATGTGTTTCTAATGATTTTATGAGGTGTTTTACTTAATTCAATAAGAGTTTCTCTTTTGTTATACATGCATATTCCCCGGTGCAGTATACTTCACGATTTTACAGGAAACCTTCTTCGTGTTTCATAAAAGTCATGCACAAGTTTTCTTGTCTTTAGCAGAGGCATCACTGTCCGTTTTGATCGGTGAAAAATATTTCGGTATGTTATTCGCATGAGGTATCTTCGTGCATTAAGCCAACAGAAGAGATAACTGGATGCCCCCAGGGAAATCCGATTGACAAATAAAGGCTTCTTTACCGTTGGTAGACATGATGGGGAGGTCTCAGTCCCCCTTGTTGTGGCAAAGGCATCTCTATGCTTAAGAAAAACCGTCATTTTTCAACTAGAGGTGCTTACAACACCATAAGGTATAATTGTAAAAAAAAATGATATAACGTACTTGTGTTGGAACTTGCTCGAGTAGGTCTAGGAAGTATGTCTCCCTTTATTAGGGGGATTGAACAACTACCAAAGATTATCATATATGTTTTACATGTTATTAGATGATGACCCTCATGGTAGGTTTATCCTCACGTGCTGCATGAGCTTCTTCTATATGCTTGCCTTATCGTACAAATTAGTCCAAGGCTCTATTTTTTACAGCTTCTTCAATTGTGTCCTTGAGATATACACATCGTTCAGTGTTATGCCCCTTTTGCATTTGATACTTGCAATAATAAGTATTGTTTCTTCAGAGATCGTTCTTCTATATGCTTGTAATAATAATGCTTTCTTCAGCTTCTACTCCTTTTAATTGCTTCTAAGAGAAGTTAGTCTTCACTACTTTCGTAATTGAAAACTTGCATTCATCAATGTGATTTCATAAACTTAAGTCTATCGAATCTTAAGTTAATAAATAAAGTATTTTCTAAATAACCCAACCATGATAAAAATAATAATCACTACAACAAAACATGTTTTTAGCGGTATTTTTAAGCACCGTTAAAAACCCTTCTGGCGCTAAAACAAACGCCACAAAAGTTTACGGCGTTTATGAACGTAAAACGCAGCTAAAGGTTATACTTTTTAGTGGCGTTTGTAAAATAAACGCCGCTAATAGTAATGACATATAGTGGCGTTTTCACCCAAACGTCGTTAATAGTCATGACTTGTCATAGCATTTTTATTCACAATACGCCGCTATGGTATGCTCTAACCAAATGTTAAGTAATCATGTTATCTGTACATTATCCAAAGATGTGTGCATTAAAAATTTCTAGGAAAGCATTTAAGGAGAAAAGAGAAAGAGATGTAACCAGAGTTAAATAAAGTAGAAATAAACATGTATCAATTTGAAATTTACAAATTCAATTTTTCCTTTACAAAGCTCAGGCCTCTCATCAGCATCTCTACGCCGGCCATCAGGACCAAGTTTGTAAAGTCACGAGGAGTATCATTAGTAAACCCTGAATAAGTATGGCATAATCAGTGATATCGTCATCTTCCTACATTACAGAAACACAATCAGAGAGTAGAAATAGACAAGCTCAATGTGTGGTCATGGCATTTATCTAGCATGGAATAATGATTTCTATATATATGACCAGAACGTAAATGGCATTTATATCCAAAATATTAAATGTAAAATTGATAAAATCCAACATAATAAGAATATAAGAAAAAATCACCATATAATCTAAGGAACCTATAGCTGACAACTAAGATACTGGAAGAGTATTATTACATTTCAAAAATAAAATTTTAGTTCAAGAGTTTTCTAACTAAAGCTCTCAAATAATAATCACACTGTTTGATTCCCTAAGTGTTGAAAGTTGGATTTTAATGCACCGAAAGTGCACAAATTTAATGCACTGAAAATTTGTTGGGTTTCGTTGAAAAAATGGAAAGGGGTATAATTGTAATATAGTCATTGTACTTTAGGGTATTTACAAGATTATGCTTTAAGCTTCAACTATAAATACTCTAACCCATTTAGCTTCAAAACCATCCCAAATCATTCTAGCTTTCTCCTAATACTAGAGAATTTAGAGAGTTTTCTTGAGAGTTGTTTTCTCCTTTTTTATCAAGAGAGAATTGTCATTGTTTTCTCCTTGGTAGATCGAGAGAAGTTGTAATTCCTATTTTCTCATAGTGAAATTCTTCTACCTTTTCTCGTGGTTTTTACCCTATATTATTTGGGGGTTTTCCACATAAATTTTGTATCTTTTTTATCTTCATTTTTATTTTATCAAATTATCAGTTATGATTTTGCTCTATCCGATAACCGTCTTCCGTAATAATTGGCATTAGAGTTAGATTAGAGTCTGTAATATTTACTTATTGTCTTTGTGGTTGCCACCAAAAGATGGATCCTCCAACACAAGAAAGTAAGAAGGTATTACCCATTCTTTGAAGGTTCTAGAGAACTATTCACGATAGTGAAATAATGGGAGTTATCCGTATTAGAAGTTATGGCAACGAAATTTGATATTGAAAAGTTTAATGGGAGAAATTTCTCATTGTGGAAATTAAAGATGAAGGCCATCATGAGGAAAGACGGTTGTCTAGCAGCTATTAGTGAAAGGCCGGTAGATTTCACAGATGACAACAAATGGATTGAAATGGACGGGAATGCTATGATAAACTTTCATCTAGCATTAGCAGATGAAGTATTGTCAAGCATTGAGGAGAAAAAGATAGCTAAAGAGATCTGGGATCATCTCCCCAAATTGTACGAGGCCACATCGTTGCACAATAAAATTTTCCTTAAGATAAAATTGTACACTCTCCGTATGCCAGAATCTACTTCAGTGACGGAGCACTTAAACACACTGAACACTTTATTTTCTCAGCTTACATCCTTAAGATGTTCAATAGGAGAACAAGAACGTGCTGAACTTCTACTTCAAAGTCTACCGGATTCGTATGATCAACTCATCATCAACTTGATAAACAGTAATGTCACCAGTCTAGTCTTCGATGACATTGCAGTTGTTGTTCTAAAAAAAGAAAATCGGCGCAAGAACAAGGAAGACAGACAAGTAAATCTGCAAGAAGCAGAAGCGTTGACAACAATGAGAGGGAGATCAACAGAACGTGGCCAAAGCAGCAGTCACAAACATGATAAATCAAAGTCGAGAAGCAAAAAGAATTTAAAGTGCTACAACTGTGGAAAGAAAGGTCACTTGAAGAAGGATTGTTGGAGTCTAAGTAAAAACTCCAATCCACAAGGCAATACCACAAACACTTCAGATGATGGAGATGCTCTATGCTGTGAAGCCTCAACCACCGTGGAAGGTAAAAAACGATTTACAGATATATGGCTCATTGATTTGGGAGCAACATATCACATGACCTCAAGAAGAGAATGGTTCATTCATTATGATCATGTCTCATGAGGATCTGTGTATAGTTGCAATGATCATGCCTTAGAGATCGTTGGCGTGGGAATCATCAAATTAAAGATGTATGATGGAACACTTAAAGCTGTTCGGGATGTGCGACACGTGAAAGGCCTGAAGAAAAATTTATTATCCTATGGATTGTTGGATAATAATGCGAGCAAGATTAAAACACGAAAAGGAATCATGAAGGTGCTCCATGGAGCGCTTGTGGCGATGAAAGGCGAAAAGATAGCAACAAACTTGTACATACTGAAGGGAGAGACTTTGCTAGAAGAAGAAGCCTCTGTTGCTTCATGTAGTTTAGATTCTGCAATCCTATGGCATCAGAAACTTGGACACATGTCAGAACAAGGAATGAAAGTCCTTGTGGAGCAAAAGCTACTTCCAGGCTTAACAAAGATATCACTTACTTTGTGTGAGCATTGCATAACAAGTAAGCAGCACCGGTTAAAATTCAACACATCAAATTCTAGAGGCAAAAGTGTTCTAGAATTGGTTCACTCTGACGTATGGCAAGCACCAGTTACATCCCTAGGCGGAGCAAAATACTTTGTCTCATTTATTGATGACTACTCCAGGAGATGTTGGGTGTACCCTATTAAGAAGAAGTCATATGTGTTTTCAACTTTCAAAAACTTCAAAGCGCTGGTGAAACTTGATTCTAGAAATAAGATCAAGTGTTTCAGAACAGATAATGGAGGAGAATACACAAGTGAAGAATTTGATGACTTTTGCAGGAAAGAATGCATCAAAAGATAGTTCATAGTGGCGAACACTCCTCAAAAAAATGGAGTGGCAGAGCGGATGAACAAAACCTTGTTGGAAAGAACAAGAGCAATGCTGAGAGCTGCAGGCCTAGAAAAATCATTTTGGCAGAAGCAATCAATACCGCCTGTTATTTGGTGAATCGAGCTCCATCAACTGCAATAGAGATGAAGACACCAATGTAGATGTGGACTGGTAAACCAACTGATTATTCAAACCTCCATGTATTTGGAAGTATTGTGTACGTGATGTACAACTCTCAAGAAATCTCAAAGCTGGATCTAAAATCCAGGAAATGCAAATTCTTGGGGTATGCTATGGGTATCGCATGTGGGATCCCACTACTTGAAAAGTGATCATCAATAGGATGTTATATTTGTAGAAGATAAACTACAAGGAAAATGAGAAGTTGATAGCACTAAAAAGTCAGAGACTACCCAGATACATGTGGAAAATGAGTTTGAACAAGGAGATTCTTCTGAAGCATAACCAACACATGATGAACAAGAACCAGAGAGTTCTGAAGCTCCAACAACTCGTCAATCAAATCGTGTGAGAAGACCTCCCAATTGGTACTCAGATTATATTATAGAAAGAAATATTGCGTACTGCCTTTTAACAGAGGACAGTGATCCATCAACATACCAAAAGGCAATAAATAACTCAGATGTTTCACTATGGATGATAGCGATGCAAGAAGAAATAGAAGCCCTTCATAAAAATAATACATGAGACCTTGTGCCACTACCACAAGGAAGGAAGCCAATTGGTAACA